TGTATCTTCACAATACTCAACCACTGACATACCTCAGGAATTAGCAGACTATCAAAAGGTGTTTATTGAATCCTGTGAAGATCTCCATTGCTCTGAATCATGATATCTATTCATAACTAATCATTGTTGGCCCATGCTGGAGTGTCATTCAGTAACTGAATGTCAACCTATTTGATAAAGTAATTGATAATGACAAGTACATAGTGATTTCCTATATCAACCTTCGGGAGAGGATCAAATGTGTCCAAAGCTATTATTTATAGTTTATAGTTTTTGTTGAAATGACCATACTTTTCTCTGAATAATACGCACACTCAGTTCAATGTTTACACTACCTCTCAACGTTTCTTCAAAAACGTAACCAGAAAAGCTACTTACACACGTTGACCATAATGTATTAAACACCATGATGTCCTCCACTCCTTTCATTAGTGTCAGGGAAATAAATGATATACTACCTGTAACACAACACTGGCTCTACATTTATATGAGCTATAGCAATATAACACCTTATCTTACATTTCCAACTGTTCTTTAAATGTCAGAATTTATGTGCTTTTTAGCTAAACTCACTGATCTGAGAAATAGTTGCTCTTCTCCTTGATTTAAAGTGAGTAATGTACAAACTAGATCTTGATCCTTCTTTTCTTCCTCTTGAAACTTATTATTTATCATTTGTGTTGTCCATTGAATAGTAGAATATTTACCTCTTGTACTATTCAAAATCATAACTGAAACAATGGTACTGATTACTATATAGTCCTGGATCGAAATATTCCACAAATGGACAAGTTCTCATTGTTTTGTCAGATAATCTATCTGCATTATCACGCTACTGTTCAAAGTAATTCTACACAATGAAGAAGTAATCCTGCAACACTGTATCGTATCCTCTCATTTCTTGAAGTTCATGAGCTATTTCAGTAAAGCATGATTAACAGTAAATTTCTTACAATAAAAATAGTGGCAGTACTGCTTGACAAGTACTACAACTGCAAGCAGGTTCAAATTTGTTGTACAGCAGTAACATACAGAGGCTATCAACATTAATATAAATTTGACATCCATACACGATTACATGCTCGAAACCTTCCTTCACTCTGACACTCTCACTACAAAGCCTCTATAACTTCTCTATCTAGAATGAACGGGTAATATTACTTGGGATAAGCCAACATAAAAACTTAACTATAGCACATTTTTGTTACTTCACTTGATCTGGCAACCCATGCAAGCAAATTAAGAATCATGACAATCATAGGCAACACATGAACTTCAACCCCAATATAAACCAAGCAAGGGGCGAAAAGAAATACAACAAATTTGTGACCATCCCTGAGTTATTAAACCCAAATTGGATTTGATATATATGACTGAAATGCTGCTAACGGTTTTCTATGCATCTTAAAGTCATAGGTGCATGTCTGCAATGCTTGAACAATACCTTTCTCAGCCTTGCACTCATGACTTTAAATGCAAATCAGCTTTAATGAGTGAAGAATCAATGAATAATTCATTCATCCATGCCTATCATATTACCAACAAACTTCACATGCATACGCATAAATACACACTTTCCTGTTTCTATTCTCAAACCTACTTTTTTCTCCACTGAAATACCATTTCCAGTATTTTAACACAGTGGGCTGAAATGAGCAACCAGACAGTTGTATAGACCATTTCTTCAATTGCTCACATTGTAAACTCCATAAGCTGCTGAGAAGCGGCTGGTGCATTACAAAGGCCAAATTACATGACACGAAGTTCATACAGTCACTATGGAGTACTGAAAGCATACTTATGTCTTCTCTTGTGTGTTAAGCAGCGGATTCCATCTAATGGATCTAGACTCTAGATTATACCTGGAAATAGAACACATTGATATGCATTACTCCATTCATCCACCTGAAGTCCACACGGAACCCAGACATCCTGTTTATCTTCCACGTTATCACTACTTGAGAAGACTACGAACTCTTTAATTGTTGAAGAATAGTGTGTACACTCTTTTCTTCAACATCCTTGATGCTCTAAGAAAGTCAGTAAACTAGTTGTTTTATCAGACACTCGTTACCTTTATAATGGTGCAATATTGTTGTTCTACCCAAATAGCCATATGAACCTACATAGGCATTGGTAAATTCCAACAACAGTTGCCTGAGTGATGCCTACTGTTCTCGACAAGATTGTATGCACGCAATATTTAACTAGCAACATTTCAACTGCTCTGACAACTAGGTATTTACATGCAGATGTGATGTGTCTGAAGTAACACTAACTATACAATCAGATTCCGTCACTCTTCCTTCGCTCATCATTCTAAGAGTCATTCTATCTGGTAGCTAAAATCTATTTCACCATAACTACAAACCATATTTGGAATAAATCTGACATTGGTACAACTTGATTTCTGGACTTAAAACAGTGTGCTTTATAATATTAGTTTCATCACAATATTAATTAGTGACAACACAATATACTGATTCCCTGTAAATTAAAAGAAACTGTAACATTTTCCTCCATATGCACAGTGCAGTCCACTGCTTCTTGGTTCTAATTGGCTGTCTTTAAGTGGTTTTTCTTCAGATCTGCAGCCCATTTGTTTCACAGGCCATACTTGAAGATAATTGCTACAGCAGGTTCTCTAAGGTCATAATGTTTGAGCAAGTTATCAGATACAATAATAAACAGAGTTGCAACCTTATATCTGTTAACGACAACAAAATTGGTATTAAACAGTAAAAAGAGATGACTTTGGCAAGAATGCCTGATACACTGCAAGATTGAGCATAGTTCTGGCAGCAACATTATCTACTTACATTTGTGTACTCTTATAGGTACATTACCATGTTATTTCCAGTCACATAGGCACTGGGCTTAACATCATATCTTCAGACACAAGCAGACTATTGCACTATTCTCCAGATTAGTGAACAAATTCAAATTGGTCTCATCTAATTTAATGATGCTGGAGTAGTGGCAACATTGTAATTTGACTGCACTGAGTGGTAACAACTTGTAGTGTCTGTAAAGACCACTCCATTTGGTCTCAATACCGGCAGATTCAATATTGGCATGACAACTTTTGTAACTAGCTTATTTTGCTGAACGTTTGGAAGTAGGAAAGACAACCTGGAGAGCAAAATAAAGGTTCCGGTATGCATTTCAAAATCCTTGACTCTGTAGCCAGATTGCAGAAGATAGCAGAGTGCAGGGGAGCGCCTCAAATCTCGGATAGAACTTTTATTAGTTCTATGCAACTGTTCAGACTTTGCTATCGCTCCAATAGCCATCTCCTCCTCTCAACAACAAGTCTTTTATCATGGAAATTAATTTTCCATGTTATTCAAGAACAGAGCTTACAAGAAATCAAGAGCATAAAAGAGAAAAATAAATGCATACCACACGTAAACTTTACGATCCAGTCCTTAGTCATGGCACCAAAATTGTTTGTAATACACACTCTGTAGTATTTTGTTGAAACATAAAACAGTAGGTAAATTATCCAGCAACAACAATACAAAAATTATTAAACATTTGTATACAAAGGATGAATAAGCCCGAATCTTCCAAATATAAAGGAAATTGACAGTCACTTTGATATAAATATACAAATTCACTTTATTCAACAATGCACCTAACAACTGTGATTGTTATGTGGAATACTTTAAAATTGATAGTGCTGTCTATTTTTTTATTCTCGACACACTATTGTGGTGAACTGAAGCAGTCTAAACAGTGTTTGCATCAGATGCCTGCAAGAGTAAAAACTGAATCTCTTTCTTCCTTAATGTATTTCAATAAAACTATTTTTTCTTCAGATTATATACCATTCTGTGCTCCGCTGTGACTCCCAGAATACCTGGTCATTACACAAGCCTCAATATCACAAGAAGTTTTCCGTCTGTTTCCAGACGTAATCGACAGGCCAGAAATTTATTAAGACCACTTTAACTTATATGTGGTTAAATGCATGTCCAAGCCTTTAACTGTATTTGACCTGTTTAGAGGCTAATTTAGAACGTCTCAAGGTTGAGCATATTTTCGTCAAACAAGAGGTTGTTTGTAAACGCGGTCACCTATACGAAAAATTTGAGAAAAATGCATGACTATAGACGTATTCATGTATTATGTTATAGCACATGAACATGGTTTAGTTCCTGATATTTGCATATCACAAGTAAAAGTACTGTAATAAATAGTGTTACTATTATATGTATACTCCTTATAATAAACAAAGATCGTGTCCTGTTATAAAGTTGTCTAATTTGTGAAGGTGGTGGTATTATTTGTATAAGTCTTCTAATTAAACCAAGATGTGTTGCGATATTATTGTCGGTTCGAAGTGCTTCACATCATGAGTTTAAAGCCTTCTAATACACGAAAGTGCGTTTTTAGGTATTTTATACCAAGTTTCAAGCCTTCTAATACCCGTAAGTGTGTATTTGTTTTTAGGTGTTTTATGACAAGTGTTACAAGTCTTTTAATTCAGAAGCGTTTTCTTATGTGTAAGTGTTTGATATAATGAGTTTCAAGCCTTCTAGTACCCGAAAGTGTGTTTTTGTGTTTAGGTATTTCATAACAAGTGTTTCAAACCTTCTAATACCCGAAAGTGTTTTTATATTTTAGGTATTTTGTAACAAGTGTTTCAAACATTCTAATGCACGAAAGTATGTTTTTGTGTTTGGTGTTTTATAACAACTGTTTCAAGTCTTCTAATACACTAAAGCAGGTTTTTGTTATTAGGTATTTTATTACTAGTGTTTCAAGCCGTCTAATACACAAAAGTATGTTTTTGTTATTAGGTATTTTATAACAGGTGTTTCAAGCCGTCTAATACACAAAAGTATGTTTTTGTGTTTAGGTGTTTTATAACAAGTGTTTCAAGCCTATAACGCACGAAAGTGTGTTTTTAGGTGTTTTATAACAAGTATTTCAAAGCCTATAATACCCGAACGTGTTTTGTTGTTTTAGGTGTCTTATATCATTTCTATTTGTAGATGAATCGCAAATACAACTCCACTGTGAGAAGCCGTCCGTTCTTCCGTTGTCGTCCATTCCGTGACCTCCTGCTCCTGATTGTTAGTTTTGCCTCTGTCTCGTGTTACTTGTGCTATCTCCTTTGGGCTCCACCTGTGTACCTGTCCCCTAATGCTGGTAAGTGTCTATATACCTATGCTGAACTTTATGTTAGTGAAAGATTCCTGTGGCGTAGGTCCGATCTCTTAAAATCTGCAAATCCCATTTGTGTTTAAAATAATCTCTATATATAAAACTCTCTGTCTATATCTGGGTATATCTATGTGTCTATGTTTAAGAGCGTGCGTGTGTGTGTTTGTAATTTTTTTAAACGTGTATATCTATTAAACCTATCATTTTCACATTGCTTATAGGCTTTTTTATTCAGTGATTTTGGATGTTTTCGTACGAATGACAAAATGAGTGGTAAAACCAAGAATAAGCAGATTTTATTATTCATTTTACTTCGTTGTACTCAAACGAGTCTTAAAATATTTCCCGGCTAACAAATTAAAACGAACCAATCATTATTATCATTAATTTGAATCACTTTGCAAAACTTTGTTGTTGTTTTTTTTTCATCCATTCCATTAGTTCAATCTTTCGCCACCTGATGGTCAACGCTTCTAAGAACCCATCAATGGTTCGAAAACTGTACGAAATACATTAACTGCACATGTTGCCCTAAGAAAACACGGAAACATGCATAATGTAAGCTAATGCTATTTCTTATTCATACTTCTACTTCACTGCTTCTTACAGAATGGAACTCGACAACGAAACCTTTCAGAAACACGCATGCGCAAAGATAAGGTTGTGAAATTGTCCATGAATGACGTTCTAGTTTCAAGTACTTCCTCTTTCACCAGATTTCTAACTTAATGACGTAACTAGTCTGTGGCGTTATGAAGAATGCAGGTCAAAAAACTTCTTTAAATATTATACAAGAAAAACTTCTACTTCATTATGTTCCTCAGCGTCATATTACCATTTCTGTAACAGATGTCAGGCTTTATAAAATTTCTTACTCAATATAATTCCCTTGTTTTCCGCTAGGTGGCATTATATTTCAAATTTTAAATCAGACAAAACCAACAACACACATGTCGAGTGATTTCTTTTACTACGTTTTCAACTAGATCATATTAGAATACGCGAGGGAAATCTTTTTAAGATCTTTGTAACTCGCTGTCAAATTGTTTATGTCGGTTTACAGTAAAAATACATTTTAACAAAAAATAAATATCTACAAAGCCTTTATATGAACTAAATGAATACAATATATTATTGAAAAGGGTGTCTGATGATTGTATATTTACTGCTTACAGAGAATGAAACAGGCTTAATGTACATTGACTTTGAACATGAGAATCTGTATTACAAAGGGAGAAAATGAAATCTCACGAGGCCTGTAATTTACGTAGACATATTACCCAGTTTGTGATGTGTAAACAGGAAAAATACGTAACAATGGAAATTTTCCTGCTCATTCTAGAGTATTAATTATTTCTTCTGAAGATACTTAATTTGTCTCCAATCTTCGAAAATATCATCGGCTACACAAATTCAAGTCGTTTTAAAACAGCAGTGCATCTGCCTCAGCGGTTTAAATTATTCTTACAAGTTTAATTTCGTTCGTTCTTTATATTTCTTTGTGTTCTTTTAAAAAATAATATTAAAGTTTGACTTTGTATATCACAGCACATTTAATGAAGTTCGTGTACACATTGTAACCATTCTTTCAATTAGGCCTAAACGACGAATGAAATAGATACTATATATCTGCAATTTTTGAACGTCATTTATATTGAAACATTTCATAAGATATTTCACAAAAATACTTTATCATAAAAGTAATTTTCAAAACAACGGCAGCTGAATAGTTTATATCGGAACTAACAGTTCGCTGACAATAATGTGGTCAAGCGAGCTGCAGTAGGGTATAATAATATCCACCTGTAACTAAGTTTATTTTTATCTATCGTACGGTACAGAGTAAGAACACACATAAAATAACTCAGGAGCACGATGGTGGAATAAAGCAAACATGGCAAATTTTGTTGTTGTTGTGATTCCAAATCGCTTTATCACAATCTTGAAATATTTATTTGAGGTAAATTCTACATTTCCTAAGTGTCTAATAAATCACAATTCTTTACAAGGGGTTGAGGTAATCCATGAAATCCATATAGCGTAGGAACTCTGCAAATTTTGTTGTTGTTGTTGTGATTCCAAATCGCTTTATTACAATCTTGAAATATTTGTTTGTAGTAAATTCTACATTTCCTACAAGTTTAATAAATCACAGTTATTTACACAAGGTGTTGAGGTAATCCATGAAATTCATATAGCGTAGAAACTCTGCAGAAAACTTAGGTTTTTCATCTTCACAAAATATGTCCAGTGAAGAGACATTACGTTTGAGTATTAGGATAATACTGATCCACACGCACATCTCTTATTTTAAAGGTATTCGTAGCATATCTAATGGGCAATCACAATACACGTATTCATCCTCACAATATATCTATATCAGGTACGTTCAAGTATGTTCTGTTGTTTACACCTGGCTTGCATTTAGTAGTTAAATGGGTCATAATTATGACTATTTATTTTCATTTATATTTATTCTATTCCCGATGAGAAGCATAAGGTCAATAGTGATAATCCTTTCCTTATATTTCTGTCACACTCAGCGTTATTTGTAATTGTAATTATATTTCGATTGTGCTGTCAACAATTCTATTGTTTCATGCATTCCTGTTGTATTGATGATCCTCAGCTGATTATGTTGTTCAGCGAGTCTTCAACCACAATAATGTTATCGTCTCGTTTAGTTCTGTTTTGCTGCAAACTTTTCTCACGGATATATTATCTAAAAGGATGTTCAGAAACGTGTTCTTCAATAAATTAATATCAGAATCCTTAAACACAATATTGATGTGTCTTTTTTTTGTACAATATTTTATCTTAGCTCATTGTACTGGTGACAAAAAATCTAGCACATACTCTAATTGACCAAAATATGTTGTCCTCCTTCTTCAGCACAGGAAAATAAAAGAATACCTAATATAGTTATACGGAAAACTGCAGGTGTTCAAGATGAATGTCAAACCGAAACCACAACAATAACTCTCATAGCAATCATTGATTTATCAACAACTACAGAAGTTACTCTAATTATATTTTTCTTCTAGAACTAAACATCTCATGAGGACGTAATTTCGGTCAATTTTTCCTTGTTTTTTCCATAGGTTGTCACGAAACAACATGAACAGGTCATTGCAGCATTGTACACCAGCCAATTGTAGATAAGCATAACTTTCAACAACGTGCTTTAAGCTTGTTATAAAACCTTAAGAAAATACTAACTTTTACTTCTAGTTGATGTGACATAAGAAATCAAAATACCCTATTTGTGAATTATTTTTCCTTTATTGTGTTTGTGGTACTCGTTAACTCTTTTCTTACCATGGGGATATACTTGGTACTCCGGCTATTTCTATTCCTAGGGGTTATATTGACGTGTATTGGATAATTGTTTTTCACACTGAATCCAATGATATATCTATATATATGAACTGTGATGCCTAATTCCATAAAATTAAAAATTCATACATAAAACTTAAAACTCTTATTTTGTAAAACTTCCCAATTTTCCATGGTTTCTGGGAATACAAAATACCATAAATACCACAGGTCCACAATTACCTTCGCTGGAAAACGTCGGTAACGCCCTCCAGCGAAATATCTTGTCCCAAAAAAAGAAGACTGTCAATGTGAATACCTCCGAGAGTAAATCCTCCCGCGAAATGAGTAAGCTGGAAAAACTTCTGTTGGAGGTGAGTAACTTCAAGGTAATCTATGAAGTTTAGAATGTAACATTTTACTCCCATACAGTTGTTTTGGATGTAGTTCGGGTTTTTAAGTTAACGCTAGTAATAAAACGTTTTTAAGAAAATGCTCTGTTAAGTGTTATTGTATGGAAGAAATGGTTTCATTGTCAAGAAATTGTGTGATAATTTTTTATATACACTTCCAGAGTCGGAGTATATGAATGACCCAAACAGTTTCTGTATTTTTATGTTTGTAATTTAATGTAAATATATATTTCATTGTCTGAGTATCTTATTATGAAAGTACTATCATAAAATACCCACGCTCTGCTGTGGGATTCTAAGGTCCCCTCATGATTCATAGAGGCTTCAATGTACCAGTCAAGCGTATCCATTACCTTAATTATTTCTATAGTTACCCCAATGAGACAGTTCTTTAACTGATTTGTCTGTTGTTATTTTTCGAACTTAATTCAATTCAAGTCTTTTTAAACGCGAAAAGATTCGTTTTTGTTCCTATATTTTTTATTGGAATTCTTTTCATTCTTTAAATTCTCCAATATTCTCTGATTCATATTTTTCATCCCGTTGTTTGTTGCCGTTTTCCAAACTTAGTTCAATTCAATTTTTCTTATAGTTCTCAGATTTGTATTTTTCTTCATGTTCGTGTTGAAAAAGAGTATTTTGCACAAGTTCCACCTATTATTCATTCAGTAAGTGAGAATTAGGAACTAAATATGATATTTTTCTATAGACCTTCAGTAATCAAAATTATGGGGCTTAAGGGCTATAGGGCAAAAAATTGGCCAACATTTCTTTGAGTCAAATCAAAAAATAATACCCATGTGCACACCAACAGAATCCCCCTAGTATGCGTGAAAAGTTTCAGGTCTCTTGGAGCTATGGCGGGCACACAAACATGTTCTTACATTACTATAGGTTATAATTCTTAAAGTAGATATATACAGAGCATCTAAACATCGTAATTTTCTTCTTGTATCTAAGTTTGTACATAATTAAGACTATCGGCGTATTTCGTTAAGCTGATGATTTTGCATCTCACATTACAAAAAAATACTTGTAAGCTATTTTCACGGTAAATTATGAAATGGTTTTACCTCTATTTTTAGCAATAAGGTATTTATATCACGTAGAAATAGTAATAAAATAGTTTTTATAAACATCATGAGCAAAGAATGAAAGACGTGATATTTCGAACAAGATAACGAGCCGTGCTTGGTCTATTAGTTAATGTGCCAAATTGTGAATCCAATAATCCATAGTTCGCATCCCGTTGCGCCAAAATCGCACTTTGTGGGTGGTTGTTACTTCCCTCTAGTTTATCAGTTCAAATTTATAAACGGCCAGCACAGACATCTCCGGAATGTGTAGTTTAGCGGAAATAACCGAAACTGCATTAAGGCGATTTTACTTGATTATACAATTTAACCAGGCTTGTTTCCACATAGCGACGATACAGTTACACCTATTAGAGACCAGTTGAAGGCCGTGAACTGCTCTGTTTTACCCTGCTAACTGGAAGGCAGAAACAAAGTTGAGAATTATTGTTTGGAAATTTGAAAACATTGTTAGAAAATACGACCACCAAACTTCACAATCTGAAATATATTGCTGTAATTAACTTTTTCGAAGTTTATGGTCATATGAGTTAATAAAAAACTGTCAACAATCAGAAAGTTGTGAAATATATAAGATACTGGTTTTAATGTTTGTTTACGGATATTCGCGCAAAGCTACTCAAGTACTATCTAGGCCAGTCATCCCTAATTTTGAACTGATAGACTAAAGGGAAGGCAGATAGTCAACAGCATCCACCGCCAACTCTCAGGCTATTTAATTTAGTCTGACCTAATAGTAGGATTTGAGTGCCAACTTTATAACGCACCTACAGTCCTAAACTGTGGAGAACAATGTTTAATCCTTACGGTAACGGAAAGCGAACTCTAACCATTAGGCCACGGTCGGCCATAGCGGTTTGGAGCGGTCAACAGTTTCACCTAAAGAAAACTAGTATCTAGAAACATATATTAAAATTCATTATTTTTTGTCTTATCTATATAATAAAATTCAGTGTGTGTGTCACGTAACTCCTCGTAAGCCGCTTATCGCACCGACTTCCAAGCGGTACCAAACGAATCGTCTCAGGCCCGAGATTTAAACAAAGGTAAAAACTTTTAACCCAACCCCTTGGGGAACCCGGAGATTTCCCGAAAACACCTTTTCCTAAACTTTTAAAGGGTACCAAACGAACTGTCTCGGTCCCAAAGTTTGCACAAAGGTAAATCCTTTCAACCAACCCAAAATTTGGCATTGATTTACATTAGAGCACGTGAAAAAGTAGGCCTACTAATTACTGTTCGTAACTTGGTTAAAGAAATTAAACTTGCATTATAGCGGCAACGATCATTAAACTGAAAAAGTGCAAAATAGTAGTTCAAGTATTAAATTTGTATTATAGCAGCCCAGGCCGGACCTGCAAATGTGAGTCATAGGTCTAAAGGTTCGATAGTATTAGGTCGTCAAGAAATTAATGTCGCTTTTTTAGATGAAAAAACCCGAACAACTTATATATCAGAACAAAACATTTATTAAATGAAACAGTCTCCATTCTTATCGATGATGCTTTTCTATCTTACAATCAGATTGTTAATGCTCTGATTAAAGAAATCACTTGGCTTTGATGCAAAAACCATGTAGATGTCTCTTATTTGCATACGTTTTCCAATTAAGATGGTGTTGCAGCGAACGAAGAAAGATGATAATTTGATGGTGCAATTCCTGGAGAATATGGTTGGTGGGGTAGAAT